AATCATGCAAGTTCAACATTTTCAAACCAATATACTAAAACAGGAATGCTCAGAGTGCAAAAGTATGATAGTTATTACTTTCCAGTATACACATCTCTGTTAATACTATCCCTCACATGTTCTACTCCCAATTACTCCTGCGTAAAATGGTGAGCCTCTTTTCATGTTGACATTCAGACTAAAATCATGTGACAGGCTGTTAAAATTGGCTGTTGCATACTCTTTCGTCCGGTCTGGGAAATGTGTTTAATTAGCTCTCATTCAAGCAACAATGCAGATTTCCCAGTGGGAGTGAAACTATTCGACTCTGCCATTAAAAAATAGGGGTGTTTTCAGCAAAAAACGAATAACCCTGGAATGCACACAAAATACTGAATTTCGGAACAAATCGTGCATTACTTACAGCAGCAGAATACCACAGAAATATCAGACGAAACATGAAAACACTATATATTGTATTTCGGCCTGAACCCTCTATATTGCAATTCAAGGAATTAACCCCTTATGTGCACCCATTTCCTACCTTGGTATCACCCACCCCTGAAAACAAACTCTTAATACCACGCTGAAGCGTTTGGTAATAATTGTACCAATTCTCGTAGACGCACATGGCCTTCCGTGTCACAGGTTTTACAAGATATACGTTCGTCATAGAAGTGCTTCTTTTCCGAGTCTAGAGAGCCGGCACTACTTAGGAGGGGGAGCAAGGGTGTAGATGTTACGGATTACAGGAACTAAAACGGCATTTTACGTTTTTACAGGAAATAAAATTTAGTTCCATTTACAGTAAAAAAAAATAGGTTTTTACACTTTACAGATGAGGCAAATTCCTAATTACATTTTAATAATACTTTTGATAATTTGATAAAATGTTTTATTCTCGGGGGCGGAGCTACGTCACAGACGTTCTACGTTGCTAAGACGCGCATCACTGTACCACGTATTTCTATGGGCTTTGTGCGCGCTGCTGTGGAACGCCGGTGGAGCCGGTGAAAATTCGAGAAAACAACACAAACTCAACTTTGAAGTAATCCTGAACAACCAAATTCATATATGTTACACACGTAGGGCTAATCTTGTTACACTGTTCAGGGGACACTCAACAACCTTCGCAAAGTACCGTTTTCTGAGAGTTTTTGGTCTTTGTTTTCACCGCGAGGGTTGCCAGGCGGTAGAAAATGCCCGGATGTCCGCCCCCCCCGAAGATACGCTTACAATATCTTTGTACACCTGAACTTACGGACAAATAAAATAGCTGATTACATTTTACACCTTGCCCATGTCTACGAATTTACGTTTTTTATTTATTTAAATTACATTATTCCGAAAATAAAAACAATTGATCACAGCTTACGAAAATACCCCTTGCCGAATCTCTACTTATAGAAAGATCCCATGGTCATAATGACATCTTCCTACTCTTTAAGTCAAAAAGATATTAAACAGGATAGGAAAACTATAAGGGTGACGGGGTATGAAAATTTAGTAATGATGGAAAGGTAGATATTTATCACTTTGCAAATCAACTAACCACTTGAATTTTTTTCAGCTCTGACAAATATAATAGTGGAAAGTGCTGACAAATCAAATATTGTAGATAGATTTCTCTCAGTTGGAATTAATTTAAAATTTAATTTTCTCTTCAGTGATGCTTTATGGGCCGTCAATAATGAATAACCATCATGCTAGGGAACGATTTACATGTAAAAGTGCTTTTATAGTGATAATTATTAGAATCAGAAATTTGCAAGCCGATTAAAAGTGCCAAAATAATGTTACCACCCCCCCCCCCTCCCCAACAGCTGTATGCGAGTCAAAAGGTCAGAATTGCTTATGTCATTGCGCATGCGTGCCTTTACGTTTGAAGCTGAGCGTGCCTCTGTTTTTTGCCTGTACGTTTTTTTTTCAAAGAAATTACAAGCCATATTCTTGTTTTTTGTCTTCTGCTGCTGTTGAAGATACTTCCAGAATTATCCAAATCCGGGGCCAGACACAGAGGAAGCTGCAGACTTGTTCCTCTAGATCAACTAACAACTTCCGGTTCTGTTGTTGTGAGCTAAGAATTATCAAAGTCGATAGCTGATAGCGCCAGCAAATCATTGTTTTCCGTCGATTCCCTGCTCAAAAGTAGACAATTGTGACACGGGATCATGGCCGACGCAGACGACGAACCAACCATTCCCCGGGCCGCTGTGAATAAGCTGATCAAGGAATTGTTGCCAAATACCCGTGTTGCGAACGATGCCAGGGAACTGGTATTGAACTGCTGCACCGAGTTTATCCATCTGATATCATCAGAAGCAAATGAGATATGTAACAATCAGATGAAGAAAACCATATCACCCGAACACATCTTAGCAGGTAATATAGACGCTTCAAATGGCATGATTTGTTGTCATTGGAATAGTCCGTTCAAAGGTCAATGACCTCTCAGTATTTCTATGACAAGAGATATGTGTAAACTGTAAAATTTTCGCTTAGAATTAATTTTCGCTATTTTTATTGAAGGAATGATTCAGCGAAAATAAAATAAAAATCCAGGGAATATACCTTTTTTTTTTATATATTTAACATTCAACTTGTCAAAAATCAGTGAAAATAAATTCCATACAAAATAAAGTATGTTGCAGTACTCAGACTAGACAGACTAGCAAGGTGACTTTTCCTTTTGTCAGATGCGTGCCACGTTTTGATTTGGATCTAAAGCGACTATAATGTAGTAACAAGATGTCCTTTATTATTTTATCAAATAACTTGAGATAGTGCGAGATGTACACAGGAAGTAGTATTAGTTGGGTCGTAGTTCTTTTTCTTTTTTCTTGGTTAAATAATCTCCACAAATGTGACAAAAATATATGCAAGTTATATCTGTGTTTATTCTCCATATTTCTGTAATTATGAATCAAACAAAAATAGAGATAACTAAAATAGATGCTCCATAAAATGGCAGCTTCCTACTGAATTTTCAATGACTTCAAACACTTAGTTGCGTCAATTTTCAAGTGCATTATCCACAAAAATTACAAAGCGTCCACACAAAGGAACACTACCGACACCAACACCATCATTTGACCTTCATAGAAAATTGTTCACATATTCTGGGAAAATTCAAAATAATGAGAAATACTACTATAAAGTTGCTCATTATATATTCATAAATGTCGTAGACGAAAGTATGCGATATTAAAAAAATGCTGTAACTCTACCCAAAAATGGCCGATTTGAACAGACTAACGTCGATCGAAAGGTTAAAACACACAGATATCATTTCCGGTTAGATCAAAAAGTATGTACCTGTGCGTTTGGCACTAGAATGACATTACGAAAACACATGAAGCAGGTGAATGCAAGTGCGTTCAAGAATTATCGGGTTAACGTGTGTCAATAAACTACCAGCAAGGTCTTTCGAGGCACACATCCTACGGGCACAGACCCCTATTCACACCTACAACATCAAGCATTGCTAGTCTGTCTATAGTAGTCTGAGCTGTATACGTACAGTACTTTACAAATGTATGTGTAAAAAAACAAACCCCAAATTGCAAACATTATCAGTCCATAAGTCAAGGTTTATTCAAACATTGTAACAGGAAAAGGGTCAAAACACTCTCATGCTTATAGAATTAGAAATACTGTAGAATACTTTATTTTCGCTTGGAATTTATTTTCGCTATTTTCGCTGAATGGATGATTCCGTGAAAATAAAATCCAGGGAATATACTTTTTTTCCTATATTTCACATTAAATTCATCAAAAATTAGTGAAAATAAGTTCCATACAAAACGCCCAAAAAGCCTTTTCAGCGAAAATTAATTCCAGCGAAAATAAAGTATTCCACAGTACTATATTTTTAATTTGTGTATTTCTAAGGTCTATTTCTATAAGGTCTTGGTAAGATGACACCTTGATGCATTCATACATTTTGACATGAAACCATCCCAGCCTACTTTTCACACCTTGAAATAAATAAAAATAAACCGAGATAAACCGAAAATTCAAACAAGGGAAAAGAGGCACAGCGCCCTCATGCCATGGCCATGCACCCCCTTAGCCTGGGGAGCAGATCCTCTGGCAACCATAAAATTCTGATTGACCAGGGATCACATGTGGCAACAGTCTTCAACTGTGACCTGTCGGACTTAATTAAAAAACTTCACACTCAGGTAGGGAAAACCCTATTTCCACAACTTGGTGGCGTCGCTGAATTGCAGTGCTCCCTCTTGCATTTTTTTTTCTAGGAAAACCCCTGAATCGTAAACACATACTAGAACATGTGGATCATTTGATTTGCTGGATGGGATGAGATAGTATAGAGCACAAAATTATGACTGACATAACTGCAACAGTTACTGTGGAACACTTAATTTTCGCTGGAATTAAATTTCGCTGAAAAGGCTTTTTGGGCGTTCTTCATGGAATTTATTTTCACTGATTTTTGATGAGTTGAATGTGAAATATAGTAAAAAAAAAGTATATTTGCTGGATTTTATTTTCATGGAATCATCCCTTCAGCGAAAATAGCGAAAATAAAGTATTCTACAGTATTGTAACAATGCAATATATACCCCTAAACACATATGCTTGGCCTGAATGTTTTTTCTTATGTTCACTGAGGGCATTACAATATTAGCACGTTGAGCACAATTGTCAAGTTTTTGGCAACATCTAAAAAAATATTTTATATAGTCTGCTTCTCCACGTGGACTGTTGATAAAAATATTTGATGAAAATCTAAAAGCAATGTCTGAACTTGCCTTATTTGGGCCAAAATAATAATGAAATTTAGTAAAAATATTACGAAATGTGAGAATATTTGTACTAAATTTTTGAAGGGAAAAATATGTGGCATTCAGAGGGTTAGTGACTATCCTTTTTTATCGTCTTCGCCAACCAGGGTTTATTTACTCAGTTGACACCTCAACATTATACCTTGGCAGATTTCCTAGAATAAACCAGTATTCAATGTCAAAACAAAACAAAACAAAACAAAACAAAACAAAACAGTGATGCGTTTTCATAGTATATGAAACAAAATGTTTTTATCATTTAAGCTATGATGTTATGGTATATAAGACAACAGAATCTATTGGTTTAAATTTAAAATAGATTTGAGTTGTTGTTACAGTAATTTTGATTGATGGATCAAGTTTCTTGGCGCTCCACCCAATCTAATCAGTCAATTTAAGGTGGCGTTGCAAGGAAAAATGCATTTAGAGTGGAATTTCAGAAAACGCCCTTGTTCTTGAGTGAAAACTGACATTCGATAAACTTATGCGTTCGAAAGTTAAATACAGTAGTTTTAAACACAATTTAACCAAAAACAGACATTTCAACCCATTTTCCATACCGTTAGCAACCACAAAAAAATGCATCATAATGTTGAAAAGCTGGCAAAATAAGCTTTCATATGATATATAACATGACAAAATTAACATTTGTTAGTAGTGTAATTCATTGTTTACAATTCCTATAAATCATAATGCAGTGCCACCTTAACTGAGGTAAAATACAGCTTTTCCTGGCACAATTACGCATGGGTACATGGGGACGGCCTTGGATGGTTTATTAATAATTAATAATAATAATAATAATATAATATATGGGTTTGTGGTCTTTATTGTAATCATTGTCATTTATTCCAAAAATTGCAGACTTTTTAGTCTTGGGTATGGCTCGTATCTAGATGAAGAGAAGTCGGTGCTCAAACACTGAAATAATTGTCATTTATTCCAACATTTGCAGCTTTAGAAAGTCTTGGGTATGGCTCATATCTGGATGAAGTGAAGTCAGTACTTGAAGAGTGTAAAACAGTTGCTGCAAAGAAAAGAAAAGGAAGCACCAGATTAGAAAATTTAGGAATTCCTGAAGAAGAACTACTTAGACAACAACAAGAATTGTTTGCAAAGGTAAAAAGTAAAACTTGCATTCCCAGTGAAACAAAAACTTTTCTTAGTGAACCAAACACCTTTCCAAATGAAACAAACACCTTTCCCAGTGAATCA